GGAGGGGGAGGGGAAAGGTCAAGCCTGATAAGAAGGAATGAAGAAGGAAGAGAGAAACAAAGCACACGGAACTGGAGCTGCGCAAAGGCAAACTTCTGACCCTTCCCCTTCAGGGAGGGGACCGCCGGGACCGCCAGGGTTAACTCATGCTCCTGGTAGGCGGTGAAAGGCGGCAGACCCGAAGTGGTGAATCTGCAGAGAAAAAGGGACGCTATCCATTTTCCGTACACGTTGATTCTGAAGTTTCCATTATAAAGTCGGAGAGGTTGACAACCTAATTTAAAAGCTCCTCATTGGAAAAGTGTAGGATTTGGGTTTTACTCTGTGTGATCCATACCCATACAATCAGAAAACACGCATACACACGCAAACCCAGGAAACACCAAAGAAAAAAATAGAAATCATGTAATCTCCCGTCTGTGAAATTCCTGGAAATAAAGACTGATCTCCAAACATCGCCTTGCCTACTTCTCTGCATCTACCTCGCCTCTCCCGCGGAATCGTCGACGTAAACTCCTTACATGCTCTAACTCACCCTGGTTCTGACTGGCTGGAGATGTGCCTCTCCCGGATCGTTTTCGGAGGCCTAATTTTACTTGGTTTATTAGGGAGGGGAGGGTGGGATACGAGACCCCGAGCCTGCAGCTCGCTAGCGCCCCCCCTCTCCCCCGCCGGTGTGGAGCGCGCAGCTCCCACCGCCGACCCGAGGCTGCGGGCGAAAGGTTTCAATAGCTCCAGGATCTCCAAGCACATTCCAAACATTAATTCACTAATGGATCATTCTAAGGAGGTTGCAAGGAGGTGGCGCATGCAGGGGCTGAGAGTGGAATTAGGGAGGAGCGGTACTTAATGGCCGAAGCTAGAAGGAAGCTGACTGGGCTGGGGGCCCGGAGGGGGTGGGGGGGAGGATTAATCCCATTTGACCAGCTCAGAAATGCCGAAGGTGGGTGCTGGTTTTCTGGAGCCGGCCAAGTTCCTTCCTAACCACTTCTGGTTTAAAAAGAAAAGAAATCTGCCCTTGGCGCAGTGTTCTTGGAGAAGTGAAATAGGAGGAGGTGGGGAACCAGGGAGGAAGGGAAAGTTTTAAATTAAAATTTAAATGAAGATTACAAACAGCAACATCAATAAACAGGGATCTCACCAGCCTTTCACTAGAATTGGCAGAGGCCCGGCAGGCTCGCCAGCTCCGGGGCTGGGACCGGCCGCTCACGTGCCGCACGGCCTGTCCAAGGCACCCGGCGCGGCGCACCCGGGGGCCCGCTCGCCGGATCCCGCCCAAGTGCGGGCCAGACGCGCCACCGCGCCCGCGCGGGCAGCCACCGAGTCGCCCTCCCTCAAGTCTGGAAATACTATTTTGACAGAACACAGCTTCCGTCCCCTATTGCCTTCTTCCCCAGGCCATAAAACAACTTCAGATCCACTCCTACCGTGACTCCCCTCCCGGCCTCCACCGCAAAACCTTCGCCCCACCGCGCCTCCCAGGAACTCTCAGAGCGGCGGCGCCCAAGCGCTTTTCCCTCCCAGTCCGGGTGGAAGAAGGGAAAGAGGGAAGCGATCCCCGTGGGGGAGGCTGGAGCTGGGGACAGCCTAGGCTCTCCACTCGCAAGTTGCGCAAAACTCTTGCCTCTTCAGCCGCTCCTAGGCTCCCCGGCCCCCGACCCTCCCAAAGCGGCTGGCTCCGCGATCGCCAGCACGTTTAGGTATCGTTCGCTCTCCCAAGTCACACACGGCCTCCTCCAGCTCAATTTCCAGCGCAGCCGGGGATCAGGGGAACCCCAGGCGTCTGCGCTGCCTGCCCCCCACCCACCCACCCACTCCGCGCCCCAGATCAGGCCTTCGGGGCGGACGACCAAGTTTCCCCCCTCACTCCCGCCGGGGGCATTGTTTACCACCACCCGCCACAAAAGCAGCCGCGGCGGCCCGGAGAAGGGCGGTGGGGGGTGTCCCGGTGGGATCGGGCCCACCCCTGTGGTCCCAGGGGAGCGGCCGATGCCTAGCCCCCCGCCACGTCCAGCCTAGGCCGAGCGCCGCCCCCCGCACCGCCATCGGGCCTCCGACCCTTCGTCCCCGATCCGCACACGCCTGCCCTCTGGCCCGGGCTCCAACTCACCACGGGCGGGCTGGGGACAGCGGGGGAGCGCGCGTGCCCCGTCCCCGAGCCCGCACCAGCCATCCCGCAAACTTTGCAACTCCCGCCGGTCCCCACAACTTCGGAGCCTGGGGCCCCAGCGGACTCGAGGAGCGAGGCAGGGCCCCCGCGAGGACACTTACCTTCCGGCGTAGTCAGGGCCCCAGCCCCCGGGGTGGGCGGCTGCTTCCCAAAGTTCCACCGCGGACGGGCAGGTAACATGGCATGACTCGGGTGGGATAGGGGGGTGTCCCGGGGGGCAGACCCTGGAGCAGAGCGGGCAGCGATCGCGCGCGCCAAGCCGCGCCAGAGCGGACTTCGCGGCCACTCCCCGCCAGGTCAGCCCCCCGGAGCCGCAGTGACTCCCCAGGACAGACCTCGGGGAGTGAAGCTGGGGCACAGCCTTAGCTGGACCCTGCACTGAGGAGTGAGAGGCAAAACGTGAGCTGGAGTTTCCCAAACCGGACCTGGACTCCCCTTGTAGACCCTCTTTTCCTTCCCTTCTCCCCTCTCCTTCCCTTTCTCCCAATATCCTACTCTCCGCGTTCCCCCTTCCCTCTTTTTTTTTCTTTTAAGGTCAAAAGAGAGTATTGAAAAGGTAGTGGAAAGGTGTTAAGATTCTCTTCTTACTCCATTTCCCACCCACCCCACCCCAGGGACTCTCAAGCCAGCAGAAAGTTTTAAACATCTGTAAAATGAATGTTCCAGCTCAGAGTTGAGACCATTGAGCAATAATACCTGAGTTGTGCACAATGGAAAAAGGTTCTCAATACCAAAGAGAAACCAGATGAAAGTTGTGTTCCTTGATTCACCTTGATGTCTGAAAGATCTTCATAATTGTGTGTGTATGGGAGGGGAGGAGGGTTGTGTGAGTGTGTGCTTATCTTGGGGTTTGAACTCTGGGCACTGTCCCTTAGATCTTTGACTCAAGTCTAGTGTCCTATCACTTGAGCCATAGCTCTACTTCTGGCTTTTTTATAATTAATTGGAGATAAAAGTCTCAAAGACTTTCCTGGCCAGACTGACTTCAAACCACAGTCCTCAGATCTCAGCCTCCTGAGTAGTTAAGATTACAGGGAAGAGTTATGATGGGATGTTTCAATTCAGTCCAATATTTCTTTACTGATTGACAGTGCAGGGGATTGAACCTTACTCTGGTACATGCTAGGCAACCCTCTACTACTGAGTTACATCCCCACACATATTTTAATTTTTGAAACAGAATCTTTCTCCTGCTTCAATCTCCCAAATGGCTAGAATTACATTATAGCCATGCCCAGCTAATTCAATTCTGACATAATTTAGTTAGCACCAGATTGCACAGGGTAAGGGTTCAGTCAGACAAGGCTGTCCCACTTACCATGTTTGGTATTACCCTATGTAATCCCAGCATTCTGGAGACCAAGAGGCAAGAGGATTGCAAATCTGAGGCCATCCTGGGCTACACAGAGACCTTGCTTCAAAAAAGAGTGTTCTACTTGAGACACTGATTGCCATGGCCCAGGTTGTAACTCATGATATCTATAAATTGGGTTTCAAGTTTGATAAGTTGTGGGAAGATTCATACAACTCACGGACAGCTTTACCTATATGAGCAGGGGAAGGAAGATTCTAAGTCCTTTCTCAGCTCACCATGATCTTTGCACTTTCACCTGTTCAGCAATCCACAAGCTTATTCCATTTCAGTGTTCAAATGTTTTTAGAGTGTAGTCTCCAAACCATAACTCCCCACCCCCCACTTTCCTGGAAGTGCGTAGTTGACTCTGAAAGTTCCAGTTTTCTAATTATCTAATTCGTGGTGCCGAGCCCCTACCTTGATGCTTCTAAGGCCCCATCCTACATCTCTTTAACTTAAAAACTCTGTTATGAATAAGAAAATAGTTCTGAAAGACTAAAGATGTTTCTATCACTGTGAAACTTTATTGTAGGAGTTCTGTGACAGTATCTAGGGACTAAGAATACACTATACAGCGGGGAGCAGGTGGTGCATGCCTGTAATCCTGGCTACTCAGGAGTCTGAGATCTGAGGATCACGGTTCAAAGCCAGCCTGGGCAGGAAAGTCCATGAGACTCTCTCCAATTAACCACCAGAAAACTCAGAAGTGGTGCTGTGGCTCAAGTGGTAGAGCGCTAGCCTTGAGCTGAAAGACTCAGGGACAGCACCCCAGAGTTCAAGCCCCACAACTGACCAAAAAAAAAAGAAAGAAAAGAATACACTACACTATACTGGTGCAAACCTAACACCTTTTACTATTTCAAGTTTTTAACTGAAATTGAAAGAGTATCAAGAATCTTCTGGAGGAATGGGCTGTAGCTCACTTATAAAGCACTGGCCTAGCTTGTGCAAAGCTATATGTTTGATCCCTAGTACTGAAAATAAGTAAAAAAAACAAAAAATAAAAAACACGCAGAGGTAGATACTCCAAGGAAATCAGATTAATATTCTGAGGGAGAAAAAAATGAAATTGAAAATATGGTTTGGGAAGAAAAGGGAAGAATTAGCGTATTTTCATGGTGGCTTACAGTATGAAGCTGTATATTTACTTATGAGTATGATAATATTATCTAAAGCCATAGAGTGCCTATCAAGCAAGTGGGAAGCTCTGAGTACAAACCCCAGTACTTCCAAGGAAAAAAAAAGAAAAGAAAACCTACATTATAATCAGATGCCAAAAAGAATCAATATGGAAATCAAGAACTTTCTGAGTTCTTTTTTTTTTCTTCTATCAGTCATGGGGCTTGAACTCTGGGCCTGGGAGCTGTCCCTCAGCTCTTCAGCTCAAGGTGATTGTTCTACCACTTGAGCCATAGCACCACTTCTGGTTTTCTGACTGGTTTATTGGAGATAAGAGTCTCACGGCCTTTCCTGCCTGAGCTGGCTTTGAACTGTGATCCTTAGATCTCAGCCTCCTGAGTAGCTAGGATTACAGGCGTAAGCCACCATGTCTGGCTCCTTTCTGAGTTCTTTTTTTTTTTTTTGGTCGGTCATGGGGCTTGAACTCTGGGCTTAGGCGTAATCTCTGTGCCCTTCAGCTCAAGGCAAGCACTCTACCTCTTAAGCCACAGCATCACTCCCGGTTTTCTAGTGGTTTTATTGGAGATAAGGGTCTCACAGACTTTCCTGGCCCAGCTGGCTTTGAACCGTGATCCTCAGATCTCAGCCTCCTGAGTAGCTAGGATTATAGGCATGAGCCACCAGCGCCCGGCTCTTTCTGAGTTCTTAAAGTAAGTATATTTTAGATACACATTCCCTGCTTCTTCTGTCAAGTGTTCTCCAACAACTTCTATTTAATCTTTTTGACCCCAAATTCAATTGTTCTTTAACTACAATCAACCCCTTCTTGTATCTCTACCTCACATCTCTTTTGCCATCCATTTTCTCTACTCCTGTCTGCAGAGTAGAATTCTACTGGGGCCTTAGCTAACTCCAAAAATCTCAAGAACTTGTCAATGAAAAAAATACCACAATGGAGCAGCATTGGTTGGTGGCAATTAAAATGGAGGCCACAAAGGCCATGCCAATCAGATCTCAGTCTTGCCTGTAGCTGAACCTTTGCAATTGGCTTGTAGATATGTATACCCTTAGATGGAAGTTGACCTTTGAAACATTATGACATAATGACCTTTGCTACTACTGACCATTTCTCCCAAATTGCCTCAGACAGCACCTCGTACTATTCTTATAAGACTATTTATTTACTTATTTATTTTGGTGCCAGTCCTGGGCCTTGAACTTAGGGCCTGGGCACTGTCCCTGAGTTTTTTTTCACTCAAAGCTAGTGCTCTACCACTTGAATCCCAGTTCCACTTCTGGTTTTTCAGTGGTTTATTTTATTTATTTTTTGTTATTTTATTTTTTTAATTGTGAAAATACCATACAGAGGGGTTACAATTACATGGGCAACATAATGAGTACATTTCTTATCAAGCATTGTTGCCTCCTCCTTTGTTTCCCCTTCCCATCCCTTCCCATACCCCCTTTTACCACTCCCTTTTCAGTGGTTTATTGGAGAAGAGAGTGTTATGGACTGGCCCAGTGAGTTTTGAACTCTGATTCTCCAATCTCATTCTCTTGGGTAGCTAAGATTACAGGTGTGAGCCACTAGTGCCTGGCTTCATAAAACTGCTGCTAGCACTAACTGTAATTCCTAACAAGAGATGCCATTTCCAGCATCCTTGAGGTTTAAGATTGTAAATAAATGAAGGTGCCATTTTGCAAATCAACAGAGCACATTTTCAAGATTACTTTCATGAGTTCTTTTGGGGGTTTTATTTATTTATTTTTTGGTCCAGTTGTGGGGCCTGAACTCTGGGCCTGGGCGCTGTCCCTCAGCTCTTCAGCTCAAGGCTAGCGCTCTACCACTTGAGCCACAGCGCCACTTCCGGCCTTTTTCTTTTTGCTTATGTGGTACTGAAGAATCAAACCCAGGGCCTCAGGCATGCAAGGCAAGAGCTCTACCACTGAGCCAACTTCCCAGCCCCATGGGGGTTTTATTTTTTGTACTAGTGCATGGCTCATGCCTGTAATCCAATCTACTCCTGAGGCTAAGATTTGGATTGCAGCAGTTTCAAGCCAGTTTAGGAAAGTCACATGGACTTCAAACCCTGAGACCCAAGTGTGTATGTGTGTGTGTGTGTGCGTGTGTGCGCGCACGCAGTCCCGCACATACACACACACACATCCTTAAAGATGCAATCTATCTGTTCCTCAACTTTCCTGTTAGTGATGTCATACCTCAGGTATGTCTGATTCCTCTCCAAGCTGAAAGGAGATATGACCACCTATGTGTATTTCCTGCCTGCCCTCTGGGACAAAATGCTCCTGACACCTTCTGGACTGGAGCTACTGGGGACTGGGCAAAGTGACAGGGCATCATGGGCTTCACCAGCATAACCAGACCTTCCAGCTTGTCTCCTGAGGACTACCCCAAGGCAATGTCTACAGGCAGCCCGTCATTGGGGGCCACTCTTTGGGGCAAGGGATCTCTGTATCCATGGTATAGATCTGAACAAGATCAGAAACAATATTATCAACGATTGGCCAGGTAAGGTGATCACCAAGCATCTGCCACCAAGACTTCTCTTCTGGGTCTTTCCTTGCAGGGGAACCTGGCCTTCCGCACATCTGTAGGGCTAGGTGCAAAGGCACAGCCCCTATGTCTATAACCATCCAGTCAGTGAGTTGAGAGGAGTGGGTAGTTGTGTGGGCGCTGCTGCAAGGAGACCTGGAAGCCCAGGATCAGCTTGCACTGCAGCTAGCTCCCAGAAGCACTAGTCTGGTGGAAAGGGCTCAAGGACCAGCTGGACAGGATGCTGATGTCCTGGGGAAGCATTGTGGCTCCTCCACTTTGTCCCCAAGGATGTGGAAGACAGGGCCACCAGGTAAGGGTCTTAGTTTGTCCAGGTTGATCTCACAGAGTAAATGGTGCAAAAACTGGTGATAGGAATGGATCACATCCTTAGCCTGACACCTGCCTCCCTGGTGAACTTTGTCACTGGCTTGCTTCCTTAGTTGCTGTCCCAGGGATCAGTCCCCATGAGGCTGGACCTCTGACCCCACAAGCCCCACCTCCACCAGAAAAAGAAGGAGAAGAGCCC